CTTTATAAATTCCAGTATGTTTCATTGTTGCATTTAATAAACTCAGTGGTGATGTGCTTTAATTGCAGGCTCTTGAGTAATAACCAGCCTTCTCAGTAATATTCCACTCAGCACTCCTTTTTTTAAATAATCTGTTTACGAGTCCGTTTGTTTGTTGAGCCGTGTCCCTCAGGGGCTCATCGCCTCCCTCAGCCTGTGAGAGCAAAGCCACAATGAGCGCAGCAAAGCGTTACAATAACCAAACACTTTCCTGCGAGGGTTTCTGCTCTGGAACAGCCTAAAGAAAGTCACAATGTAGGAACAACAACAACAACAACAACAAAAGAAACAGAAAATAAAAAGTTATTTTTTAGCTGCAGTGCAGAGAAGCTGATTGAGCTCTGAGTACTCGCTTTGGAACTTTACAACATAAAATCAGACTTTTCAGATTACAATAAATCATTTGTTTGTTTTTTCTAAGATAACTGTTTCCATCACTGCATGTGCATTCTTGCACAGATCCCAGGGAAAAAAAACAACAGTTGATCCACGGCTCTACAAATGATCCGAGACTTATATTTGCTCTTACATGAAAAAGAAAATATGGACAGAAGTAACTGTTGCCAAAGATCAGTAACAGTTTTTGTATGTTTTTGTCTGAGTCAACAGCAACATTTCTAATGAACCACTGGARAGATTTTYATGAAACTCTCGGGAAGTAATTATTGTGTCCAAATCAGGTGTGCAGACAAATGCTCACAAGACAAAAATTCACAAGARGAAGCACAGCCTTAATAAAATAAGGGACAATAACTCACTTAAAAAGCCACCAAAAGTATATTTGTGACACCTCAGAGTAGCTCACACATTCTCTCTTTTTAAGCTGTTCCACACCTTGTTTTTTTTTTTTACTAATATTTTTTTATTCCTTTGAGCAGGATTGAGCAGTTTCTTTGTTAATGAGAGTTTCTTTGAGCAGTTCTTGCAGAACCACCTGTACCAGGTCTRAGTAGATGAATATAGATCTGTGGAGGACTTCCTCAGTGGGGCACTGCATCTGCAGTTTGGGATAAAAACGTTCAGGAGTATTTTTGACTGCATACAATATGCTCACATTTTGCACGGTGATATAAAATAACACTGTGATGCAATGTGGTGAATAAAAATTGTCTATTTTTTTACTCATTCCTCTTTTTTTTTTTCTTTAAGGTTGTGAGTTTTGTCTCGTGAGCTTGTGTCAGGGACTTCCCAATTCAACAAGGCCTCACACTTTATAACACAGAAAAAGGTGTAGAATTAAAACATTTTCAGGAATTGAGCTAAAATTTGATGTTGCAAAAGCTGAAACTGATTTTCAACTGACACTTTTGTGTTCAGCTAACATTTTTGCACATTCAAAATGCTTTCAAATGTAAAGCCATCTGCGTTGTGGAGGAGAATTCTGTAACAACGTAGTTCATTTCTGAGTTACTTGCAGCCATTTTTCACGGCACTGAAGGATGGAGCTATTTTAGGATTTGTTTATGTGTGATGGTCTAAGTCAGTTCTTAGAGCTGTGGGAGGGGAGGGGCCTCCCTCTTTAAGATAAGCAAATAAGAGTGATTCTCATCTACCCATTTATCTGCCATCTAATATATACTGTATATATATACTGTATAT